TGCCCCTGGGGAGGGCGGCTTCTCCACACGCACTGAAGCAGGATCACACTGGGCCATCCGGGCACCGGGTCCCCCTCAGCAGCCCTGGCCCACACCACGGCTCCCCCGGCTGAACCCCGATGGCCACACGTCTCTGTGGTCCCTCAGTCCTGAACGAGCAAAGCATCCCTCAGCTCCGCCTGGGCATTTGTCTTCTCTCAGGCAGGTGGAGTGCGCCGCGGACAGCACAGTGCAGCCTTCACAAGATGAAGCGCAATTTTGAAGAGAAAGGGAAACTAGGTCTGGACGACACCCCACCAGGAAATTTTTCTCTCAAGGGTCTCAGATCCTCAGACAAAAATAAGCAGAGTGACATCAAAGTTAGGGGAGTTCTTCCACCCCCACCTCAGGCCTGGATTCATGATGTTTTGTTACATTCAGGTTCATTTTTATTGCAATGCATCCCTGGAAAGTCACCACCAAATAAAGAATGACACAGACCCCACACCCGTGGACGGAGCAGGACGGCAGGGGGAGGCCTGAGCAACGCTTCTGGGACCGTCTCGGGTTCCAGGAATCCTTTTCCAGGGGGTTTTCCAGGAATCAAAGCCCTGATGCCCACCAGTGCCGCCACCACCTGGCTGGGAGCTGCTGCCCCTCTACGGTGCTACCCCAGTCTGCAGGGGCGAGGCCGGCTCTCCCAGCCCCACTTGCCCTGAGCCTGCACCCAGGCCCTCCAGCTGCTGTGTGGGGTTGGCCACTGGGAACACAGGCAGGACGCTGGGGGTGGAGAGGCCACAATCACGGTGGCCCCGTGGCGGTAGCTGCAGCCCTCAGCAGCACAGCCCCACGTCCATCGCTGCCCTCACCAGGCCCTATGACCCTGATAACCCCGTCCAGACTTGGCTCCTGCACTCGACCCTGCTGCTTCCACATCCCACAGGGGCTTGGAGGGTCCCGTGCTGGCCTCTGCAGGGACCCGCTCCCTAAACTTTCAGCCCTAGTGATACTCCGTCTCCCACAGGACCCTGCCCAAAGCAGTCAGTGGTCACTGGCGCCTTTGACACCCTCCCATAAAGCTTTCCTGGAACACGCCAAGCCGTGGTGACCTTTCTCCTCTAAAGCCTTGTGTGTTTATCTTGGAACTCAGAGCCACCGCATGCTGCTGTCTGGTGCATGACTGCACACCCCAGGCCCAGCGATCTCACCAGCTCCTCTGAGATCACGTTTGCATCCTCAACGCATAGTTCAGTATCCGGCATGGCCAGTGCTACACACAAACACACACATGCACACGCACACCAAACAATCACACAATGCACACACAAACACACATACCACACACAATGCATGCACAAACACACACCACACACCATGCACACACAGACACAGAAAGACACCACAAATACACATGCAAAATGCACACACAAACACACTACACACAGACACACACAAAATGCACACACAAACACACACAAAATGCACACAAAAATACACCACATATATACACATACCATGCACAAAAATGTACAAACATACCACACACACATACATACATGCACACAAAATACACATATACAAACACACCACCCCAAAACATACCACACACACATATTCACAGACATCACACATACATATACACACATAAACCACACACATATATGTACAACACATAGGTGCACAAAATGTGCACACAACACACCACACACACATACAAACACAGATATAAGCTCCACACACACAGTTACACACACACACAGTTACACACACACACAAACACACATGCTGGTCATATTTATTTAGTTCTGCAGTGGTTCTAAAAGATGTCCACAAACAATTCTCCATTGAGGAGGGGAAGCTTAGACCCCCCCGTTGAATGTGGGCACCACTTAATGGCTGCCCTCTAACAGACAGACCTGATGGAAGTCATCCTGGGCCACCTCCAAAGCCAGGCCACAAAGGCCCTGCAGCTTTCTCCTCACCCTCTCCGATCCCTCGCTCTGGGGAAGCCAGCTGCCTTATCAAGGGCACTGGGCATCCTGTCGTGGGTGCCTGCATGGAGGAGCTGAGGCTTCTCCCGCAACAGCCCTGAGAGTGAGACTCAAAAATGGGTCTTCTGGCCTCGGTCAAGCCTTCGGGTGAGCACGGCCCTGGTCTACGTTCTTGACTGCGGTCTCCTGAGACCCAGAACAAAACTACCAGCTAAGCTGTTTCCGAATTCCTGGCTCACAGAAATAGTGTGAGGTGTTAAACGTTTGTTGTTTTAAGCTGCTGGGTTTTGAGTTAATCTGTTACACAGAAATTGATCACAATTACAGGTTCTGACACATCAAAGCTATACAGAAAATCCATATTTTCTCTGATGACTGGAAATAGCAAAAAAGAAATAACCTCTGGTTGCAAAATCAGTTGCCTCCTGGAGCACCTCTCCCCACTGGTGCCACAGCTGTGTATGAGGGACGCTTTTTAGAGCAAAAGTTGATCCGCCTGCCTACCTGCCACTACCCACGTGCTGGGCTGGGAGAAAGCGATGTGGCCCAAATTAGGAAAACTGGGGATATGAGCAGAGACGACGAGAAAAGGAGAAGAGACTGTCTGCCTGGGGCCATGGAGAGTGGCCCCACTGCACCTCCTGCTTCTGCCTCTCCGGTACACAGAGATCTGCCCTCAAATAAGTGAGGAATCTGTGCCTTCACCAAAGGTGGCACCCACAAGCACCTTCCACAAAGCCCTCACTAAACACGCAATCGAGATAAGTGTTCACGACGGATCACTGAAGGCTCCTCACTTGGTCACCTTCCAGATCAGGGTGAGCGAATGCTTTCTGTAAACAATCAGAGAATGAATACTTCCAGCTTTGCAGGCTGTGTGGCTTGGGCCTCAAACTACTCAACACTTGGAGGTATTGCAAAGTGATATTTAGGTGGCAAGTGGTATTACTGGTAAAGAAAGAAGAAAAGGCACAGAAGACTACGGAGACAGAAGTGTCTCCCCTGAGCTGAGCCTGGAGGGCTGCAAGGAACCAGGCAGATGGAGGGGGCGGTGACAGACAGGAAAGGACACTAGGAAGGCGGAGGTGAGAGCAGTGGCGCTGACAGAGGATGGCGTTGAGGGGCCTCCAGAGTGGTGAGGAGATGGACCCAGTTGGAAGCAGAGGTCCCACAGAAGAGCAGTGGACACCAGGGTTCTGGAGCTGGGAGGACATCGGCTGCTGTGGGCCAGAGAGGGCAGGAGGAAGTGTGGAGTTAGCTCTTAAGAATATGAGGGGCCCACTGAAGGTCTAAATGGAGGGACACAATGTTCAAATCTGCACTGGATTGAGAAAGGAGATGAAAGGGACCTTGGCAATCAGCAGCAAGTGGGATGAGCTGTTGACAGAGGATACTGCTGAAGGCTTTCCATGAGCCCCAAGAAAATGGAGTAGGTGACCACGGGCCAGAACTTCCTGTGGAGCTCCCAGGCAAGCTTTGTGGATATTAATGTCCAGAAGGCCACCGATATCTGCCAGAAATGCCACAGCCTTGCATTCAGGGTCCTCAGCCTGCGTCCTCCAGGGGAAGGTGGCATTCTTACAAGAAGACTGGTGATCTTGGCGTGCCATCCCACTTAATCCTCACAACCACGAGGCAAAGTGAGCGTCACTATCCCCACCAGATCTGTGGGTAATGGTGGGAGGACACGGCCAGGATCACACACTTCCCTGGGACAGCGTCATCTTTCCATCCTTCATTGGACGAGCATTTGCTAAGCCTCTTAGGCCAGCCAGGCAGTGGGCTGGGCACCAGGCACTCCTCAGTGAGCAGAGACCCTCCCCAAGGTCAGCCCCATTCTTGTGGGAGAAATCAATTGAATAAATAAGCAGATGGTGGTGGCCGCCATAGGGGAAGAGCAGGGAGAACCGATGGGATGGAGCGGGGACTCTGAGAAAAGACTGCAGGTAAGTGAAGGAACAGCCACTTGAAGGTGTCTGGGGAAGAACATTCCAAGCAGATAAGCCAGCCAGCCAACCCCACCTACATGTTCAAGGGAGATAAAGAATGTCAGCGTGGCTGGAGAAGGGTGGGAGGGTGGGGAGAGGGTAGTGGAAAGTGATATCAAGGCAACAAGCCAATGGGACCCTGTGATCAATCAGCTCAGGCCCAGGATGGGAGGGAGAGGGAGTGGGGCTTAAACAACAGAAGCTTATGTCTCCCAGATCTGGAAGCTGGACCTCTAAGATCAAGGTGCCAGCAGGGCTGCCTCCTCCCCAGCCCTCTCTCCCAGGGTCCTCACATGGTCGTCCTCTGTGTGTCTGTGTCCCCATCTCTTCTTCTTATGAGGATACCAGGCAGGTTGAATTAGAACCAACCCTACTGACTTCGGTTTGATTTAATGACCTCTTTTAAGACCCCAACTCTAAATAAAGTCACATTCTAAGGCACTGGGAGTGTAGGACTTCAACGTATGAATTTGGAAGAGACACAGTTCAGCCCATTGTGGATTTATAAGCATCACAAGCCTATTACCAGAAATGAGGCACCTGCAGGTCACTGTCCCTCACCGAGCTTCACATCATGCTCCTCACACTTCCATAGAGGGAACAATGTCTGCTTGGCAGAGCCATTATCCCAGAAACCAGCTGCTACCAAGAACAGCCAAGAGAGGGACAGGGGTAGTGCCAGGAACACAAAGCCCTTTACCAGGTAAGACGCCTCACGCGAACCATTTCAGTGGGTCCGTGCTGGAGGCTGGGACAGGCAGAATCCTCTACACCGTGGGGCAGGTGCCTCTCTTCTTCATTGCTGTCTCCTGGTGTGGGACACAGTCGGGGCTCCAACATCTGCTGCGTAAGTTGCACTTCTTACACAAACACACACACACACACACACACACATAGAACAGCTTCACCTTAGGAGCCAGAGGCAGACCCCTTCGCAGCCCTTCCTGTTGAACGATGGTATCTACAGCATCAATGAATATGCTAAAGATGCTCATTATAAATGAGCAAGTGCTAGTCATCGGCCAATTCATTAATAACTGACCTGCGATGGGTGGCAACTCGCTGGGGCTTTTCGTGCAGTTTAGAAACTCCAGCCTGTTGAGGCAGATGGTAAGTTCAGAAGCCCCAGGGGCCCCGGCTGATGATGGCGACCTCCTCACACTTCACTTTCACATACAGCAAGTGACGCAGGCTTCCTCCGGCGTAACCTGCTCCAAGATCCCACTTGGTAGGATTCCAGAAGCAGATGTGGTTCCCCATTTAAACCACTGGTTATTCACATATACCATGAGGCACGACTGACCAAAATACTGGATGGATCTCTGTTGGGGAAACTAGATGTTTTGGTTACTTGGAAGAGCCGGCAAAAGTAATCTACTTCAACCAGCACAGTGGGTTTACAGATTACAGTCAGCTGCACGCGGTCACAACAGACCTCTCAATACGTATGGGGCCAAACCCACTGGAAGCTCACTTCTCGCTCAAGCAGGAGTGCATGGAGGGCAGTTCTTGCCGCAGATGGTGGCGACTCTGGGACCTGAGTGAATCCCATCATCTGCCCCATGCAGTGGACTCACTCGTGTGCTTCCAGTGCAATAAAGGGGGAAAGAGTGGGGAGGCCCAGTGCTTCTTAAGGACTTAGTCCCCAAAGCAAAACACGTCCATCTGCCCATTTTCCATGATGCAGCACGTCTAACCATAAAGGAGCTGGGACATGTGGCCCAGCGCATGCCGGGGAGAGGGGTCAACACGTGAGTGACCAGCTCCATGTAGCCAGCAGTGTGCTGGGGAGAGGGGTCCATGCGTGAGTGACCAGCTCCATGTAGCCAGCAGTGTGCTGGGGAGAGGGGTCCATGCGTGAGTGACCAGCTCCATGTAGCCAGCAGTGTGCTGGGGAGAGGGGTCCATGCGTGAGTGACCAGCTCACACCCCTGCACGCGAAGCTCCCTTGGCAATGTGGCCTCTCTCCGGCCTTCACCTGAAGGGCCCGGAAGGGAAGTGGTTTGTCGAACCTGAGTCATTATTGTCAACGTTCCCCCAGCTCAGGACAGGAGGCAGAGGCAAAGGTGGAGGCACCGAAGCTGCCTGTGTGCTGGTTCTAGGGAAGCCCCTCTCACTCACGTCATTCTGGACTGGATGGGAAGCCCCATGCTCACAGCGCCCCTGCTCCAGGCCCTGCCCATGCATGACTGAGGCAGAGGCACCCCTCAAACTGGGCCTCCCCTTTGTGGAACAGCCCTGCCCTCACAGGCGCCTGCCCCAGTCAGACAGTGCAGACCCCGCATGTGGGCTGCAGGGCGCCCTGCAGGCGTCGGGGCTCCCACCCTTTCAAGCATCACATGGGGAGGGAATCTACTGAGCTCTGAAAAACAAACTTCTGAAAGACTTTGGTGCCCTGTTGGTAAGGTGTCCTTCTCTTGCAATTCACCACCTAAGTCCCCTCCGAATGTAAAAGCCCTGCTCAGGTGCCCCAGAGCCCTGTCAACATGGGCACTGTGGAAATAGGCCACTTTCTCTACCCTCTCTCCCAGACTCCTTTGCCCTCTTCCAATCCCCTTTCAAAGATGACAGTTACATAAGTGGATTCCTTCTAGCAAATAACAGCTGGTGTTGTGCTGGCAAGGAACGTCCAGAAATAAAATTTCAGCTGAAAAGAATGCTGAGAAGTTCCAGCTGATGAGCTGGGAAAGGAAATGTTTGGGGTAAGAGGGACTGCCGATGTTACTGGCGCTGCTTCTTCTCCCCGTGAGGGTGCCCTTGGTGATTCTCCTGTCTCGGGCTGGGACCTGGCATCTCCTGCTCCTCCCCATCCCTCCCCATCAGATGCTAAGAGCTGGGGCTTGTTGAGCCCTGTCCCTGTGCCAGGCATAATGTTCAGTAGTTTGTACTCATGAGCTCATTTAATTCCTCACAATGACCATGTAAGCAAGGTGTGCCCATCTACAACTAAGAAGGGTGAAGCACAGATAAATTGAGGAGCCTCCCCACGGGGAACGGGAAGTGTCACCTCGGTGCTTGAACCCAGGCAACCTGGCTGCTGCAGGACACACAGCCAGTGAGCCCAATCCTGTACTGCTAGTCTGTGTCCTGTCAGTTTCCCAAATAGTAACTCACAGCTGAGCCTTCCTTTCTAGCCTCCCCTCTCCACTCCTGGACTGTCATGAAGATCTCACAACTGAGGGTTCTGTCTCCAGCCTCCACCCACTGTCGTCCATAGACCGTGTGCTTGTCCAGCCACTAGAAAGATTCGAATAAGCACTCATGTAATTATCAGTGCAGAATGTGGAAAGTCATAAAGAAAGCTGGTCCAAACCAAGCCCAGTACAAACCGAGCCCAGTCCAAATGTTCGTCATCCACAGTAGTTATGCCATAAACAGAAAATCAGCAGCTGAACCTCAGTTCCTAGGAGAAATACAAGGCTAGGTTCCTACAGGCCTCTGGTCACATTCTCATCAACAATCAGTACATGACCTTGTTTCATCTGTGTTTCTGTTTAGAGATGCCTTGTTTAATGTACACTATTAATTATATTATGTATACTATTGATAACACTCAGAGCCAGCAGCGCCAGAACAAAGCCTGCTTGAAGCCTCTCTGAGACACATATTTTCTCTAAAGGCACATCATGGCCTTCCTGCACTTGGGAGCACAGCTCCTCAGCACTGAGCTTGTGGGCCATTCTAAACAGCCAAATTACCCACAAAAAGCATTAAAATATGGAAAAAGTGGCACTAAATAGACCTTAAAGCAACACATTTGTTTATGGCATGGGCCGGTGTGAGAAGGCAGGCAGAGTTTTTCTCCACCTGAGCTGGGAGCTCAAATCTCTCACCCCCCTGCACGTCTGCAGATGACTGTGAGAGTGCTGCCAGGGTTGATTTGGGGGTTAGAAGTGGATTTTCAAGAGTAGGTGAATTCACAACTGTGGAATCCATGAATGATAGGGATCGACAGTGCTTTGTTCTAAGCAGGACAGTGGGGGAAAGTAAGGACTCACAACGGAAGTTAAAGGTAGAAGGAGGATGTGGTTCTGGAGCAGAAAGATGTGGTGCTGGAGCAGGAGTGGGGGTGTTGGTGCAGGAAGACGTGGTGCTGGAGCAGAAGGATGTGGTGCTGGAGCAGGAGGGCGTGGTGCTGGTGCTGGAGGAGGTGGAGATGGTGCAGGAGGGCGTGGTGCTGGTGCAGGAGGAGGTGGAGATGGTGCAGGAAGACGTGCTGCTGGAGCAGGAAGACGTGGTGCTGGTGCAAGAGGAGGTGGTGTTGGAGCAGGAAGATGTGGTTCTGTAGCAGGATGTGGTGCTTGTGCAGGAGGATGTAGAGATGGTGCAGGAGGACGTGGTGCTGGAGCAGGAAGGCATGGTGCTGGTGCAGGAGGAGGTGGTGCTGGAGAAGGAGGGTGTGGTGCTAGAGCAGGAGGGTGTGATGCTGGAGCAGGAAGACATGGTGCTGGAGGAGGAGGATGTGGTGCTTGTGCAGGAGGACGTGGAGATGGTGCAGGAGGACATGGTGCTGGTGCAGGAGGGCATGGTGCTGGTGCAGGAGGAGGTGGTGCTGGAGAAGGAGGGCGTGGTGCTAGAGCAGGAGGGTGTGGTGCTGGAGCAGGAAGACATGGTGCTGGAGCAGGAGGATGTGGTGCTTAGGCAGGAGGACGTGGAGATGGTGCAGGAGGAGGTGGTGCTGGTGCAGGAGGGCATGGTGCTGGTGCAGGAGGAGGTGGTGCTGGTGCAGGAGGATGTGGAGATGGTGCAGGAGGAGGTGGTGCTGGTGCAGGAGGGCATGGTGCTGGTGCAGGAGGACATGGTGCTGGTGCAGGAGGGTGTGATGCTGGAGCAGGAGGATGTGGTGCTAGAGCAGGAGGGTGTGGTGCTAGAGCAGGAGGAGGTGGTGCTGGAGAAGGAGGGCATGGTGCTAGAGCTGGAGGGTGTGGTGCTGGAGCAGGAAGACCTGGTGCTGGTGCAGGAGGGCATGGTGCTGGTACAGGAGGAGGTGGTGCTGGTGCAGGAGGAGGTGGTGCTGGTGCAAGAAGACGTGGTGCTGGAGCTTCTGGAGCAGGAGGACATGGAGATGGTGTAGCAAAGTGTGGTGCTTGTGCAGGAGGACATGGTGCTTGTGCAGAAGGTCACGGTACTTGTGTGGGAGGGTGTGGTGCTGGTGCAGGAGGAAGTGGTGCTGGGGCAGGAGGGCGTGGTGCTGGTGGCAGGTTAAGTGCACTCAGAGCTTCTGCTGGGAGAGCGTATGGAGCACATGGAGATACCCTGAGTCCAAACCACCCACCTCCCAAAGCCTGTACTCCTGTGACTTAGCCTGAGTATTCCCAGCGTGGTCCACACCTGCCACTCCTGGCTCCACGCTTGTTCTCGGCTCCTCCACTCCAATCCCAGACTCCTCTGCCTCCCTCCAGTGCTCCATTGTCCATCTCAGAGCTCAGCCCCTGCCTCCCTGTGCTGATCCAGGCCCTGCTTACAGCTGGGCTGGAGGCTTCAGAGGTCATTGCCCCAGCCCTCCTGCCAAGCCACACCCAAACTACCCCTCACTTACGGGGCTGCAGCATGTCAGGTGGCAGACACATGAGAAATTAGCCACTGCCCCCTCCCTTGAAGCACAAATCCCTTCCACCACACACATCCCCCTGTACTGGAAAGTTCCATAACTACTTCATAACACACCCCTCTACTTCCATGTCCCTTAAGATTGCCTTAGTCGGTCCAGGCTATGACAAAATGCCTTAGACTCAGTGGCTCGTAAACAACAGGAACTCATTTCTCATAGTTCTGCAGCCTGGGGAGTCCAAGATCAAGGTGCTGGCAGTTCAGTGTGGTGAGGGCCACATCCTTCTCCCTATAACCCTATGCCCTGGAAGACAGGCAGAGCCTCTCTCAAGTCTCTTTCATTAGGGCACTGACAAGGTCTGGCTGTGTCCCCACCCAAGTCTCATCTTGAATTATAGCTCCCATAATTCCCAGATGTCATGGGAGGGACCCAGTGAGGGATAATTGAATCATGGGGGCGGTCTTTCCTGTGTTGTTCTCATGACAGTGAATAAGTCTCATGAGACCTGATGGTTTTATAAAGGGCTGTTCCCCTGCACACACTCTCTTGCCTGTCGCCATGGAAGATGTGCCTTTGCTTCTCCTTTGCCTTCCACCATGATTGTGAGGCCTCCCCAGTCATATGGAACTGCGAGTCCATTAAACCTCTTTCCTTTAGAAATTACCCAGTCTTGGGTATGCCTTTATTAGCAGCCTAAGAACAGACTAATACAGGCACTAATCCTATTAATGAGGCTTCTCCCTCATGACCTAATCACCTCCCAGAGGCCACGCCTCCTAACACCATCCCATCAGGTGTTGGCATTTTAACACAGAATTATGGGTGGGGGTGCAACATTTGGTTCCCGCCCCCCATAAT